TTCTCAAACCTCAAGCATCGATCTGTCTCAGTGTCCACAAGTCCAGGAGCATAACAGCTCAATCGGATGAACTCAACCTCGTAGTCCATAACAAACATGCTACCCTGCTCCAGATTCTGAAACTCCTGACGTCGCTCCTGTAGGTATCTCTCTCCGATGTAGCGACTCCGAAAGCGCGTCTTGAAAAGATCCCATGTTAATTGGTTTCTCGGAATACTACCAGAAGTGGATTGCCACCATCTGAAGCTTTCTTTCTTCAACATAGTTAGAGCCCCCTTTAACTATTGCTCAGGTCTGAGGTCCATCTCATCCATAATCCTCTATGTGTCCTCCAGACAATACTCAACGTCTGTCGGAGGTCCACCAGTAATACCTTCGAATGGAACAACACCAGCATCAACCGGAGAATTTGAAATCTCAACCGCAGTCATATTACTAGGGGCTCTGACAGCTCTCTGAAACATTCAGAATATAGCTCTATTAATGGCATCTTCGTTCATGCCAGTATCCTCATCTCCAGTGACGGGAGGATCTCCCACAAGAGTAAACTGGTCATCATGAGAAAGGGTCGGATCTACTTGCGGAACAGGAGGATCACGTGGAGATATCGGATCGTCGATCGTAACACAAGGTCAAGCGACTCGCCCTCGACCACGGCCACGTCCTGTCCAATGACCACTAGCAGCACTCATCGTTGGATCTATAAGGCTCTACAAAAAGAGTTTGAAACATATGTCAGATTAGCATCAGGGATCTCGAGAAAATTTTAAATCATAAAATAAGGTGACATTTTTTTTCAAAATTTCTTAAAAATCCAAAGTTTAGGACCCATATACAGTCAAATGTTTAAAACCGAAAGCTCTGATACCACCAAATGTAACCCCAGACCCGGTCTGTAATTTAGACCCAAATCTAAGTGGTCACATATCTCATTCAGAGATTTTTTTTATATCTTATAGTACATTAAATATAATACAGAACAAGATGTATTAATACAAATATATCCAAAACGATAGCAAATACATGTCACCAAACATTACTGAAAAATATATAGAGATATAAGTTCGTACAAAATAAGTAGCTGTTCTCCCCTGATGCCAAATCTGATAGTTTATGGTCCTCTGTTATCTGAAAAAAAACTACAGAATGAGCTAAAAAGCTCAGTGTGCTCATTACAGTGTATATAAAATCATACTGATAAAAATATTTCAGTAAAATCGATTTATGCAAGCATGTCGTTAAAAAAATATGAACACTACCCCCATCCGATCACAACAAAATGTGTAGGTTTCCCATAACCATACAACCCCGGCACAACAATAAAGCCCTGAGCACACAACCGAGGAGCCTGCATATATTCTTCCTCTAACATATACCCCCCAATGATATTACTAAACATGAATGCATCGAGTGAAAACAATGATTAATACTTTAAAACATGAAATGTTTCATGCTTAAAAATCATATTCAGAATTACAGAAAACAAAGAAAATCGAATCATTAACGTATAGTAAATTATATATATCAGATAAGTCATATTCAGAAATCAGGTATATAAAAATATACCATAACCAGAGATCATATCATAAGTGTGCCATAAATCATATATTAAACAAACGATATTCAGACCGATATTTTAACACATTAAAATAACACCTCCAGGAAACACACCTGTAACAGTTTGAGAAATCAGATAGGGAAGCTTATTACTAGTTTTGTTGATCACGCTCTGCTGCAGCGCTAGATCCTACGAATTAGAAAAATCCATATTGTAAACCTAATATAAATAATCTAAATATTATTTAAATAATATACGGAAACCTACGGGTAATTATCGTAGTACGCGGTTCAGGCTGATCTAACGAACGGACAACACCAGACCTAATTGATCCTTGCTCAGGTGAAACACGAGTACCTTCATAAAATATTTTTATTGAATCAATTCCTTAACCAAATCTCAAATAATTAATCAAAATATTGAAATATTAAGCCTTTTGGGTTTACAAACTCGATTCAGGAATTTATGGTCATAATTTGGTAAAACGGACTTCGAAATCAGATTCAAGATGTCGAAAAACATAAAGTATGACTTTTCGAAAATTTGAATTCTTGGTCAAAATCAAATTCAACGGGTTTGACTAATTATTTGGAGACTTTCGGGTTTGAATTTAGCAAAACGGACCCCAAAAACGGATTCGGGACGTCAAAAACTGTCAGGATAGGTATTCTCGGAAAAGATTAACGGCCGTTTAATAGCCGGTCAAAGCCAGTCAAAGTTCTGGTCAAAGGAGGTCAACAAACTGTCAACCATCACCTTTTTGAAATAATTACCAAAATAACACCATTTTCGAAGTAATTCCCAAAATAACACCCTTTTCAAATTAATTACCAAAATAGCACATTTCGAATTAATTCCCAAAATAGCACTTATTTCGAATAAATTCCTAAAATAGCATCCATTTCGAATAAATTCCCAAAATAGCACCCGGTCAACGGTCGGGTTGGGTCAACGGGTCTGGTAACAGGTCAGGTCAAAACCGGTCAAGCCGGTTATTTTTGCCTTCCCCATGCGCAGTGGCGGCGCGTGAGGTCTCCTCTGGCTGCGTAAAATTCACGGAAAAATTTCTAAAAATTATTTTGAGCGATTTCGAGATACTTTCAAATATCGATTCAAATTTTTGAACGGCGGAGAACTCGATTTCATCAAATCGAAAACTTTGGCCGCTTCACCTCCTCCCGCGCCGCCGTCGACGGAGACCGAGGATGACACCGGCGGACTCGGAACGACACAAGGAACACGATGGTGGATTCAAAACGACGATCGGAATTCGGACGACGTCGGGATAGTTGTCGGAAGTTTAGGCTCAATTTAGGAGCAATTAGTTTCTGATTTTTGAGAAACCAATTGCCTTATATAAAACCAAACTTCACCAATTTTTCTTGGGTAAATTCAGGGCTTGGTTCTTGAATTTTGTTTAACTCTAAAACAAGTTACAAATTTTTAAAATCTTTTAATTTAGTCCCCAAATTACTTAATTAAAACCTCAAATTACAAATATATATTTTTTTTCCAAATTTCCGGGTTGTTACAAAAATACAATTCGGATAAATCGAATAGTAACTCAAATAAATCAAAAATTTTAGAAATTAGTTGGTAGATTTTCAAATTTGAGTTAAATTCATCGACTCTGAATAATATATGTATTTCACATATAAAAAAAATAAATATATATATATATGTATTGTATATAATTACAAAAAATAATTAAAATTAAAATTAAATAATATCATAATATTATAAATATTTATAATTATATTTAAACAAAAACTATGAAACTTAACTCGAAATTTTTTTAAATTAAATTTAAGTTATAAATAAGATTTAACGACTTGAAGAAATCAAAATATTTTATCTCGATCTCACTAATAATAAAAAAAAGATTGTTGGCACCTCAATCGCATCAAAGCCATAACCATGGTGTCCGGACGCAGGACCCACACCACCTGGAAGAACACGCACAGCCAGCCACTGCTCCATGCTCTCTAGCTGTCACCCCTTGCGTCGAGGGCCAAATCGGCGACGTTTTTATGTAAACTTAGATAAAGTTGTACAAGGAAGATTAATTACGATTGCCGTGTCAAACAAGTGGTAAACAATGAAATGATGGAGGGAGAAACAGAGACGGATCTCTAATCTCACTATTTTCGACTGAGAAAAATGAGAGAATTCTAGAGAGAGAAAATCAATAATCTTCTCCGTTGCTGCTTTAAACTTCACAGCTGTCTCGTTTCTTCAGGTACATATACTATATATTTGTAAGAAACAAAAGTAAAAAATGAATTAATGTGAGGTTCTAGTGAAGATTATAACCTTAATCTGTTAATGGGCTTCGTTTCGATTCTAGTTTGTACTTTGATTTTGTGATGAATTTTGGGTTTTATTTGTTCCCATGTTTAGCGTTTCCCTAGTCTGCCTTTACAGTGTCTGATCCTTCTCTCTTTACAGCGTTCTAATCATCGGAGTGATCGGAGATTATATTATTGAGCTCGTTATTTATTTTAGAAATATTTCATATTCTTTTGTGTGTTCGATTTGATTTCGCACTCTTACTGCACTGCTATTATTACTATTCAATTTCGATGTTACAATTTCAAACTCAGAAATAAGTGGTTTTTATCACCGATTTAACTAGATCGATTATCAAATTGAATTTGCTTTGTTTGGGATCGTGCTTTCTGATTGATTTAAACAGTTTTCTGGGACATGCACCATTTCCTTTGCATGTTTATATTGGCATTTGCAGCGCTATTTAGAATTCATGTTTAGGGTTCTAGATTGCATAAGATGCATTATAATTACTGCTTTGCATGTTCACTTTCTTTTGCCCAACTTTTTCCCCAAAGCCTGATTCAGTTGAAATGTGTATTCCAGCTTCCATTCTGTTTTCTAATTGAATTAATAGCTTTATTGAAAGTTGTTAACATTGAGAATCCAAAGAAAAAGACTTCAAAAATACTCTTTTGAGGTTGCCAATTAAATTTAGGGTATTGATGCTAAATATATGCTATGATTCAAGTACTATAATTACTCTCCCCCCATAAATTAGCCTAGGTTCATTTATCTTCAAAAATACGGTGGACTTTCTTAGTTGTGGTTTGGGTTTAATTTCATTTATGCCCATCAATATAATAATGCACTGGTTGATGACCTTTCTTGTGAGGCTATTATCTTTTAAACAAGTTGGTTTCACTGTGTCATTCTTTTAATGGATTTGTATTTATTAGCGCAGACAGTGTCATTATAAGAAATTGTCTTTTGTAATTGTAATGGAATGGGAGTGCTATTTTCTCATTATAAAATGGTACAAGTGATTTAAGCTGCCGGTTTTCTAAAGATTGAATTGAGTTGTTTGCTATTCTCTCGATAACTAATGGTGAATGCCCATACAATCTTTCAGGTTCAAGTGTCTTTGGGATGCTTGGCTATGGCAGAATGCTTGTACTGATTGCATTAAGTTTGATAATCATGGTTTATTGCCTTCGGTTTTTTCCTTGAAAGTTCTATCTAAATGGAGAGAAATCTAGGAAACGGCATGATGGATCAACAGAAGAACTATGAGCGAAATCGATACACTAATATTGAAGCTGGGTATGGAACTCTTGAGGCTGCAAACCAAAGATTTTTTCATGATCCATCTGGTAATATAAATACTAACAGCAGACCTCCCGATTATAATATGTCTGCGGGAGCTAGACCAGTTTTGAATTACTCCATTCAAACAGGTGAGGAGTTTGCTCTGGAATTTATGCGGGAAAGGGTGAATCCCGGGCAGCGTTTTGTTCAGAATGCTTATGGTGATCCTAACAGTGGACCTCTTTATATGGATCTAAAAGGCATTCTGGGAATTTCTCATACAGGTTCAGAAAATGGCTATGATATCTCTATGGTTTACACAGCAGACAAACCCTGTCCCCAGGAGCTCGAGAGAAAGACCCCTTCTGTGCATGAAGACAAGAGCTACTATGATTCCATGCGATCAATTTCTCAATCTTCTTCAAGAAATGACATTAGTCAGGGGCATCAAGATTATGCATCCAGAATTGCTTCACTCAGCTCATCAATTAAGGTGAAGTTCCTATGCAGCTTTGGTGGCAAAATTTTACCACGTCCACGTGATGGGAAACTTAGGTATGTTGGGGGAGAAACGCGCATGATTCGATTAAGCAGGGATATTTCCTTTCAAGAGCTTGTTCAAAAAATGTCAGTAATTTACAACCAAACCCATACAATAAAGTATCAGTTGCCTGGGGAGGATCTTGATGCATTGGTTTCTGTATCTTGTGATGAGGATCTACAGAACATGATGGAGGAATGTAATGTGCTAGAAGATGGAGGACTGCAGAAACCCAGGATTTTCCTTTTTTCTAGAAGTGATTTAGAGGATTCTCCATATGGCTTGGGGAGTGTAGAGGGTGATTCTGAGATGCAATATGTTGTTGCTGTCAATGGCATGAACCTAGGATCTAGAAAAAACTCGATTGCAGCAAGTGCTTCTGAGAACAATTTAGATGAATTACTTGGTTTGAATGTTGTAAGGGAGGCTGGTCGGACTGTGACTGAAGCAGCTGCCAGTAGTTCTGCTTCTTTGACAGCTAATGGGTCATTGTCAGTAGTACAATCTTCTAATGCACCTGCATCAACAGTCCAATCTTCTAATGCTCCTTCATCATCAGTCCAACCTTCTCATGTACCTTCACCAACCCTCCCATCTTCTCAACCAGTTTCGGTGAGTTCATCTAGCGCTAATGAATCTAGCTCACAACCATATTTTGAGCAAAAAATGCATCATGGAGAAGCTAACCAACAGTTGTCTTCCACTCCCCAGATAGATGGGAAATATGGCCATGGTTCTCAACCCTCTAAGTATGCGATGCCTGGAGAAAATTTAGTTTCAAAGCCAGTCCATGGGCATGTGACCCCCCAGGTGGGTTTAGCTGATATGAGCTTTCATGTGCAAGATCCAGAAGTATCTATTAAAGAGGTGAAACTAAAAAGAGATAGCTCCACCCCAAAAATAACCGAACCTGAAAAATTGCGGCCTCTAGACAAAGTTTCACCGATAAAAGAGCCAAAAATGAAAAGAGATGCATCCCTCCCTAAGATAAGTGAAACTGAAAAAGTTCAGGTGTCAGAGAAAGATTACAGTGTTGCTTCAAATGCATATGACGGTTCTGTTGCAAACCACATTTCTAGTGAGGAAGCATCTGTTACTGTTTCAGTGACAGACATTGGCTCATATTCGTTGCCTGCAAAAAAAATCAAAAAGACCCAGGAAGCTGGGCAGAATTTAGTGGCCCCTGAAGTTGTAACTGAAGGGAGAAAGAATGTTGAAGATGACCACTTTTACACATCTGGTGCTGGTGGTTCTGAGGCTAATCTAAATGACTTGAGCTGCCTTGAGCCATCTGTAATTCCTCAGCGAGTTTTTCATTCAGAGAGAATCCCGAGGGAGCAGGCTGAAATGAACCGTTTATCGAAGTCTGATGATTCTTTTGGATCTCAGCTTATATTGACTCAAGCACATTCTGATTCTTCCCAAATAATTGGAGAAGCAGTTGATAGGATTCATGATGGGAATTTGTCTCCTCAAGCTGATCAGTCTGTTGCATCTACAAATTCAAGATCTAAAAATCCTCAAACTGTTATGGATGGGCTTGATGAATTTGAAAGGTACAAAGGATTTTCTGATGAAATCATCTCTAATATTTCTGAGGACAGACTTGAGTCAACTAATGAGCAATCTGAATTAAAACAAGTCTCGCTTAAGAACACTGCTGATGAAGAAGCAGCCGGGTTAAATCATCCCACAGCAAGTCAAAGAATATCTGTAAAGCACCTCGAAGATCTGTCTTTGAAGCTATCTGATTTTGAGCAAATTGGAAAAGATGAAAATAAGAATACAGGAAATCATTCTCAGGGGCATAACCCGCCTTTGGTATGGGAAGAGAACCCAATTAGAACAACTTTCAATGTACAGCCTACTCCTGTGTGTGCCTCTGAGCATGGAGACATAGTTATTGATATTAACGACCGGTTTCCCCATGACCTTCTGTCTGATATATTCTCAAAAGTAAGAATGTCCCAGAACCTCTATGGTATCAGTCCATTTCTTGGTGATGGAGCTGGACTGAGCTTAAACATGGAGAATCATGAACCTAAGCATTGGTCATACTTTCGTAATTTGGCTCAAGATGAGTTTGTTAGAAAGGATGTCTCCCTCATCGATCAGGATCATCTGGGTTTTTCATCTCAGCTTACAAATATTGAAGGTGGGACCCCAATTGATTATAGCTATCCTCCTTTGACATGTGCTGGTGCCCTTGCTTTGGCTCAAATTAAGCCAGACATCAATTTTGGTGAGGACATTAGGCAAGAGACAACTTCTGTTGCTGCTACTAATAACTTGGATATAGGCTCAGAATACAAGAAGTCTCCACTCAAGGGAGATGAAAGTGCACAAGTTGGGCAAAACCTCCAAGTACCTGAATCTGAATTTGGGGTACTTGTGCCTGTTGATTTTGATTTATATCCTTAGTTTCTGAAGACAATTCTTTCTTTTGTCCCTGCTTTCTAAATTTCTTCTGTTTTCAAGGATGGGAAATTGGATTCTCGGAATTCTGGTGTACCTCTTCTGGATCCTTCCCTTGGAGATTTTGATAGAAGCACATTGCAGGTATATCTTGGATTCTTAATCATCTGATGTCTTATTACTAAAAGAGCTGGTGAATTTTAAAATTGCCTTTATGTTTTCTAAAATTTCCAATGTTAAGAAAGCTTTGCCACATTATATGCATACATGTTTATGCTTAAATCTTCAATAGAGGCTTCTATTCAGTCAGTAGCAATGGTATCCATCCACAACCAGCCATTGCTACCATTTTGTAGAACCTCATCGCCACTGGCACCAATGCAGCTGCTAATGATAATTTTCTAGATGTTAAACACTAATTATTTTATAGTATGCTGCCACTTACGTCACCTCAGACAGCCTTCACCACTATGATATATGTTTCTAGCACCTCCTCATCTCAATTTATGCTGGTGAATTGAATGCAAACATGGTGAAAAAATGTTATCCACCATGCTGCTTGGTTGAACTGTTCTGCATTTTGTGTCCATGGTCTCAATATTATTCAACTAATTTGGTCACTGTTTCTAGCTCCATGTTGGCTAATTTCATCAAATTTGATGGCAGATCATTAAAAATGAAGATCTGGAAGAGCTAAGGGAGTTGGGTTCAGGTACATTTGGGACTGTATATCATGGAAAATGGAGGGGAACAGATGTTGCCATCAAGCGGATAAAAAAAATCTGTTTCACTGGTCGTTCATCTGAGCAAGAGAGATTGGTTAGTTTTCTTGTTGTTTCTTGGCATTTTGTGCATCATGAACGGAGATTGTTACTTTTTCCTCTTCTTCCCATCTCATCAATAACAGTCAGTGTTAAATGTTTTTCAGACTGTGGAGTTCTGGCGTGAAGCTGACATCCTTTCAAAGCTTCACCACCCCAATGTGGTGGCCTTTTATGGTGTGGTGCAGGATGGACCTGGAGGAACACTAGCCACTGTCACAGAGTTCATGGTGAATGGCTCTCTTAGACATGTTTTGCTTAGCAAAGAAAGGTAACGTTTTAAAATATAGTTACTAGAATGTTCTATTTTCCTCTGTTGCTTGGACTTGCCAAAATGGGAGCCTCACCCGTGTCAATACGACAAGGATAAGGTTACGGGATATGGGTCAGATTCGACGGATGCTTGGTGACTGGGTGAGAAGGAGTAGAAGAAGTTGCAGCTGCGGGATAAAGAGAAAGGGAAGGGAGAGATTAGAATATATTGAAATCTCAGTTTTCGAGGGGAAAGTAATATAAAAAAAGGTGAAGTAAAAAAATAGAATGTTAAAATCTCGTAGTTATGGGTTTGAAGCCGAAAAGATTGTTAATTAAATCCAATCCAAATAATAAACTAAAATATTTTAGATTATATTTATTTACAATCAATAATAGTTAAAACAAAATTAATAAATAAAATAATGTTTTATATATAAAATACTGATGTATTATAAACATATATTATATTTAAGTACATATAAAATGGATCTCTGTACCCATGTCCTCTTGTATCCTTTTTTGCGGTACCCCCGTGTCTCGAGTTTAACTCAATTGACAAGTTGGACATCTAGACACGCACTCAAGTCTGACATTCGTACCTGAGTCCGAGCAACATAGCTACTTTCATCACTCTAGAAATTTCCATTATATATTTTGTTTACATAGAATTTTTAACTGTCTAGGCAACTTGATCGTCATAAGCGGCTCATTATTGCCATGGATGCAGCGTTTGGGATGGAATATTTACATTCAAAGAACATTGTGCATTTTGATTTAAAATGCGACAACTTGCTTGTCAACTTGAAAGATCCTGTGCGGCCAATTTGCAAGGTAATTTGCACAATCTTGTCATTTATAAACTTGTAAACTTTATGGTGCATGTGTCCCAATTATGCATTTCTTTGTTTTTGTTAGGTAGATATTTGATGTCTAAGTCAAACCTACGTGAAATAAAGATGCTGATGTGTGTGCAGGTTGGGGACTTCGGGTTGTCAAAGATAAAAAGGAATACCTTGGTTACTGGTGGTGTGAGGGGAACTCTACCATGGATGGCCCCAGAGCTGTTGAATGGCAGTAGTAATAAGGTTTCTGAAAAGGTAAGATGATTTGTTTCAGAGATTAGATGAAGTTTGTTTATATCTTGGTTCATATAACGCTTTACTGCAATCCTGCACATGCTGGGAACAAAATTTATTATGCTTCATAGAAGGCCCTGCCTCTCAATGATTCTATTTCTCATATTGTTTTGGATGGCTTTTAAGAAGTGGGTTTTATATTTTAAGCAAGTTATATACTCTTCATTATCTAGAATGTTGCTGTACTTACTGGCTCAAGTTGTAGTTTTCTATTTGTCATCTATAATGAAGTGAGATGCTAGGACTTGTTGGCTCTGCACATTTTTCAGATCTAATACCTCTTTTCCCTATTTTTTTCAATTTCAATCTTCAAGAATTTTTTTGTGCAATTTTATTTGTATAAAACGTGCACAATGGATCCATGGCTAAAATCTAGGTTTCTTCCTGAAATGTCCACCTCCATGACCTTCTAAACACGTAGCAAATGGTCTTTATGCAATTATTACTTACCTGGATTGTCATTTGCAGGTAGATGTGTTCTCATTTGGCATTGTTTTATGGGAGATTCTTACAGGGGAGGAACCTTATGCTAATATGCATTACGGGGCAATAATAGGTGTGCAATCTCAATTGCGGTTTTAATTTTTGTTGCTACATTTGCTTTTACTTTCAGATGTCTCATTTCTTTTTTCCATATTGGGTTCTGCTGACCTTACCATCATTAAATTTCTTCTGTTAAATTTAGTATGTCATATTGATCGTTTATATCCATCGACTTTTTTCTGGTGTTCAATGAGCTATAACATTGTAGATTACCTCTTCCGTGCAGGAGGCATTGTTAGCAACACACTGAGGCCACCTGTACCAAGCTACTGTGACCCTGAATGGAAGTTACTAATGGAGCAGTGTTGGGCTCCGGATCCTGTCGTTCGACCTTCATTTACAGAGATTGCTAGACGCTTACGCATTATGTCATCAGCATGCCAGGCAAAACCACAGGGTCGCCAGCCGCAGAACCAAGCATCTAAGTAAAATGACTCAATAATTCCCTAATTTTGAGGCTAGATGCACTCATCAATTATTATGAGTCTGTTTTATTTTATATATAAACACGTGTGTATTCTTTTATATGAAAAGAAAGGGAGGAGAAACTCCCTTCGAGTTTGAGTGGTGAGATATGATATTATTGTGTTTTGTAAGTAAAAGAAGATATGTTTATATCTAAAGCTATTATTATACGTCACTGTCAATAGTGGGATACAAACTTGGTTTTGGTGCTTTCTTGTAACTAGAGTTCAGTACAAATGTGTTTTTGGTACGCCAGTCTTCAGCGTAGCAAACTAAGCTGGCCTGTCTATCTTTCCTATTATTTGATTTGCACTAAATTGATTGCTTTGCTTGGTCCCAATGATCAAGCTTTCATATTTTGTATCGTGCCTGAAAACTAGGGATCCACATTTTATCCGGACTTGACGGGTTGGTTTTTATTTGAAAATTCAGACTCGGGTCGAGTTGGATCAGATTTTTTTAAAGGTGAGATTGATTGGATTTGATTTGAGTTTAAGGTGAAAAAATTCAATCAATATTATAATTATCTTTAAATATAATTATCTTTGTAATTGACTTTGATACCAGATAGTCTCGTGGATATGACATTGAAATTAAATGGTTTTGATTTAATAAAATTTGTTTTGACTAAAAAATTAATTTTTTAAAAAAATAAAACTAGAATGAGAAGACTGAAATGAAAATTTTGATTCAGTGGAAAAATGAGGTCCTGCCTCTTAACATAAAATTAAAGTGTTTTTATAAAAGTTTTTCGTTTCTTTTCACATTTTCTCCAGCTAATGGAAATTATTAACATTATACAATAATTCAAAAGATAATAAAATAAAATGACAATAGACTGAACAAAGGTTTTGTTGGATGCTCGTCCTTTTGCATTGTAATGGAAATAGCTTTTACTATTTGATGCTTAGATTCTCTTTGATCCATCATGACTTACTATTCCTCATTGTCTTTGTGTAGCAGGAACAATAGTGTTTTGCTTAAATTTTTGATCCATCATCATGGCTTACTATTCCTTTTTGGTGTTGTAGGGAATCATGCACGCTTTAGCAGGAACAATAGTGTTTTGCTTGATTTTTTTTATCCATCGTCATAGTTTACTAATCCTCCTTGTTTAGGTGTTGTAGGGAATCTTGCATACATTTTCTCTATTTTTTTATTTTTTCTTTTTGATCTTGATAATTTTGACATGTTGGTATCGTCTGCGAGATCCACTGTTCTGATTAATGATGTTTGTGAGTCTTGCTCTTTGTTTTATGATTCATATTCATAACTAATTGAACTTAGTATTTCTGCCATCAATTTCTTGTATTCCTTCTTACTTTTTGCTTGAGCCAATATCGTACTAGCATTCGATTTTGTTTGTAAAATTTTTTTGTTGTGTCTTTGTCTAGAGAGGCTGATTTGCATAGACTTGAATTTTTGACAAAGAAATTATTCAATTATTTGGAGTCATACTTTTGAGATAATTTTAGATAATCATCATAACTCCAGGAAATAATCTAAGAGATGCATAATTTTGAGAAAAAATGGATACTTGGGTAGAGGTGTTTTTGATTCATTTCGGATCGATATTTGTCAAAGAACTTGGATCAAAGATCTTGAATTTTTTGGGGTAATATTTCAAAAGATGGTTCCTACCAATTTCACCATTCTTGAAACTAGTTAGGAAATTTATAATATGATATGTACTCGAAATATATGAGCCCAAAACGTCTCATATGTTGATTGTTCTTCAGTAATGTTCCATACCAGGGTGAATGGTAATTCTAATACGAAAAATAGGTACAATGATTTTTTTTTCCAAAAAATGATGTTGGAAATTTCATCAAGGTTGATGAGCTTTCACCCAGTCTTTTGGTCGAAGGACTTTGATGATATGGATTGTAGAATGGATAATAAAATTTGAATCTTTTAAATCAGTGTAATGTTGAAATGCCACAGATCCTGTTTGGATTAAAATATTTAAATAGTATTCATGAGTTTTTTCATGTTTATTGGCATAAAATGGGATCTATTAAAAATTTGTTTAACCAAAATATGTGAAGATTTACTGGAAAAATCAATCATCCTCCAGAGCAAAAATATGTTCAACATCTTTATTTGGAAAATATTGTCAAAAATTTTTAGTAGAGTTTTGTGAAATCACTATTTGTTTTGAAAAAAAAAATCTTTAAGAGATGTTAGTTTTGAAACATTTGTGAGATATTTTGGTTTACGTAAAACAATCTTTCTGTTTTTTTTTTTAATTTTGTTGCATCAACAACAATTTTTTGGAGAGGACGTCCGTCAATTGGTGCAAAAGTCATTGTAACTTCTGGAGACTGAGAAAGAGCCTTAATCCATTTTTTTGACTTGAGATGACATTTCATTCGGATCTTGAGCATCTTGAAGTGATGCACCAATTGAAGATTTTGATGAAGATGTTTCTTCATTTGCTTCTTTTTGGAAAATTTCAGATCGAGATTTGATCAATTTTGCTGAAATTGATTTTTTATAGCGCTTTTTTCATATTTTTTTTCATTTTTCTTTATCTCTCAATTTGGTGGCATGTTTGAAGGAATTTTATGATGAGAAAATCAGGATAAGAATTAGTTTCTTCATTAACTATTTAATGTCAGAATCAAATATACTTAAAATAGTTTGTCATCTTGCAAAAAAAATAAAAAAAAATGGAAGCAATATTTTAAATATATTTTTGTAAAACTTCTTTTGCCGACTTACAAACAATTCATAATTTTTTTGAACTAATAAATCAATTTGGAATTTTGTAATACATGAAAACTATTGATAAAATTTCTTTTTTAATAGTAATATAATTTTGCTAAGTGTGATTCCAGTGCCTAGATGTAAATTGTATTGTCTACTCTTTTTCATTTTTGACTTGTTTTAAAATTCTTCTCTATCCTATTTCTGAAGCATTGATTTCAATTATTTTTGGATTTGTAATATTTGTGAAATGTAAGCAAGGTAGTTCCATGATTTTTTTTTTAATTTATGATATAATATTAGTATGAATACCCGTCAAAAGTTGTAGATTCTTTGAGTCTATCATATAAGGGTTTATATAATTTACTAAGTCTTGACATAATTTAATTTTTTTTAAGAATATTTTTATATTATTTATATATATTATTTTAGTCTACTTTCAATTTTGCATTTGTTTTCCTTTGAATTTAATTGTGTTTCGATGTAAATACTCTATACATGAATTGCTTGGGGAATAGATAAGCTGGGAAGCATGGTTCTAGTCCCTAATTACGAAATAAATTCAAATTTCATTGGAATTTGTATTTCAAAATATAAAATACAAGTCACGAAAGCAAATAAGTAGGTGCGGACACATAAAATACTAAATAATCCAAAAAAAAAATCCTAATTACAATTCCTAACCCTAAACTTAAATATTATTAACAATAAAACTTCAAATTCCCTCAAACCTCAAACCATCTGACCTCCAAATCCGTACAAGGTATTCCCTGCCTTATCATTGCATAAACCACAACATAGTAAGGAAAGTCTTTCTCCTCGCATGCTCGGTGTAGGTGACAACATCTGAGTCTTCCAGAGTTTTGATCTGATTAATCTGGATACACACTTAGTTTTAGTGGGTGAGTCTTATAGCAGAGATTTTTTGTATACACAAGACGTCGAACCTACTTAAACGATATCAAACTGCTTACCACAATAATAACCAATAGTGGAACACAATGGGGACTAGTAGGAGCCACGGCCCCTAAAACTTAAAAAAATATAATTTATACCTTCAAAATTTTCAGAATATACACTTTGGTCCCCAATTTAAAAAAAAAATCATTTTAATCCTTAAAAATTTTTAATATTCTTAATTAAACACCTCCCATAATTTTTAAAAATTCTCATTAAACCTCTCAAATTTTCAAAAATTTTAGTTAGAGCCCAATTTTTTGGAAAAATGCAAACGGAACCCTTTAAAGATTTTAATTTAAACCTCTAAAAATTTTAAATTTTAAATTGACCACTCCAAGTTCTATGACCATATTCATCCACAGACAGTAACAACGGCGGTCTTTATCAAAAGATTAAGTCAAACAGATATTGAAAAGAAGAAGAAAAATCTTAGGTGTCCACTAACAGTTTGAAGGTTTTGCAGGTTTCAAAGGAAGACAATGGGTTTATTTGAAGGTCAAGAACAGAAGGCATCGTTTATGGACATTTCGATGTTCAGTTCATCTGAAAGACAAGTTACCAGCCTAAACCATTATTCTCTTCAGGCTAGCTCCAATTCAATCACCATTACAACCTCAGAATTGGCGATAAAATCAGTGTTCGTAAACAAGTTACTACAAGGGAATATATAATGGAATTTGATATTAATGGAATTTCTGAGGGAATAAAGTGGTCAGTAAAACGTTGGTAGGAATAAAAATTTTTGACGAAATAAAGTGATCCGTAAAAAATGTACTGAAGAAAATCCTTAAGTAAATTTACTGACGGAACATTTAAAATCCATCAAAAAATTATATACTTAAAATAATTCGGTCCAAAACTACAATCAGGTCATAACTTTTGACAGAATAATTTATTTTCATATATAAATTGTGACAGATTTTAAATTGGTCGAAATTTTTCGTCAATAATTTTTTATTTTTTTGTAGCGAGTACAAAGGGATGTTAATGGATCAGCTCAATACATATCGGAATGCAGAGGAAAATTATCAATAAATATCTGTGTAGAATTTTTCTTAATATACAATAACACGTACATTGCAAAAGCATACACTTACATAAAGATTTTGTGTGCTGTTTTATTTGAGAAGATGAATCCTGAAGCTGAAATTCATGTGATAAATCACACAACAATGCAAATAGATCCAAATCCAAAAAAGAAACAACTTAGTTAGTTCAGGACACTTTTGAACTCCAAAATATAAACTTGTCAATCACCTACCTTAATCACACTCCAACTGGCGGTTCCCATGGTGCAATTCTCACCATTTTAAGAGCCGTTTCACTATCGCACAAACGCACTCTCTCTCTCTCTCTCTCTCTCTCTCTCTCTCTATCATGGAAGGAGAAACAAGAAGCAATGATGTGATCAAACTTGTTGAACTTGTGCCAGATCAGGGTACTGAGAGAATCTGCAGGTACAAAGAATGCAGGCGCAACCACGCGGCTTCATTCGGCCGCTAAGCCATCGAC